TTTTTAATTATTAAGGGAGGAATATGGTGGCAAAATACCTTAATCGCCGTTATATATATATTTTTTTAACATTTTGCATTTGCTCAGTTTTTAAATAAATAGGTGAGTATTTTGTTGTAACATCGAAATTATGAATCACTTTTAATAAAATAATCATATAAATATTATAAATGGCCCACGAAAACGAGCGTATAAATTAAAACAGTACTATTTTAAATTATCATCGGTAACCTTGAATATTTAAATGTGCAGAGAAAATTATCAGTTACAAAAATATAGTTTTGTCGTCCAAAGCGATCTTCATTTACCTAATCAGGAATGACAACGTATTTATATAATTCTTAAGCTATTTGACCAACGATGTTTTAAAAAATTAACAGAATCAATCTAACGTCAACTTTCCTTTTTTGAATGGAGAAAGACCGGCGGAATCAATTTTCAATGTGCTTTATATCTTGTACCTTTGCAAGACTTATCATTCATTCATAAACCCACTCTAAACCAGAGACATATATACGTCTGTTTAAACTGACAAGAATACTCCTAAAACGGACAAGCAGTATATTCTTTAAATTTCTGTGTTTAAATACCAAGAAAGAAAAAAATCCCGAAATTAATTTGATACTCAATATTTTTCCTGGAAAATATTCCCATCCTCATTCGGTCTGAAAAAAAGATAAGAATTTGGTATACAGAACATGCAGAAGTGTGAATGTCATAAAACCTAATTGTTATATCAGAAACCATTATAAATGTGAACCTGTATACGTAAGACCTCATGGGACGTCAACTAAGATCACCTAACCACATACAGGTAATATACAAGTAGCTCTGTTATACCCGGAAATGTCAAGGTTAATCACTACTGATACAGAATGTACCAATGCAAAGAAAATTCTGATGATTGTGAACCATGACCATTCATGATTTTAGAGGCGTCTTAGGAGGGGGATTGCCGGAACGATTTAATTTAAATTCGGACTAGATTTTTTTTTCTCAATATAAATCACTGAACTAAAAAAAAGAAGAAAACTACGCCCAAGAACAGAATTCTTCTTGTAAATTCATAAATAACCGTTCTTATTTTGTAACTTTCGATAGACATGAACTCCAGCCCCCACCCCCCACCTGGGAACAGTATATCTTACAATGTATATATTCCTGCCAAAATAACAAAAAAGGAGAAAAAGAAAGAGATGAACGGTAAATCACATCAGATTCAGATATTTATATAGTTGATTGTCGTTAGCTAGAGATGTATACATGTCTCTGCGTTAACTTATAAAAATAACAGGAAAGTATAAACTTGAAATAGATTTATGATGAATACTATGCAACTGCTACACCCCTTTTTATCACAGCGTGCATGTATGTATTTAAATGACTGTCCGTTATTTCGATTAAGAATGACAATCGTACGTAAAATCCTATAGTTCATGGTGAGACTTTTTGTACCAGATATGCGACTTTTCGTATTTATATTTTCTCTTATATTACTCTCATTTGATATTTTATGCATAAGTGCAATATTGGAATGGTTTATTACCACCACAAGCTACCTAAATAAATTAATCAACCCTCTAGCTGACCAGACGTTAATACAACTACTATCAGTCTATCCGCAGTGAAGTTTCTTTATTTCTTCAAATAGGCTTTTTGGGGATCATTAGTGTACGTCCAGTGGCATATATATTACATGCATGTCGGAACAGGAAAATTGACATCAGGTACTTTTAGAACCATGTTCACATTATTATACATTATACCCAACAATTGTGATGATGACGAATTTCTTAAACTGTTCAAAATAATCTTATTGAAAAGTAAATCTGTGATTTTACTATGTCCATAACTTCGATGAACCAAAGCAAGTTAGATATCGAACTGTATTTAAATCAGATTGGTTCTGGATGTTTCTCTCGTATATTCAATGTACATGTATATATTCTAAATTGCGACTATCTATAGTTCCGTAACCTTCTATCTAGGCGTATAAACCAATGATTGACAAGTGCGTACATTTTGTTAAATCAATATTTGTATGTTTCAAAATGTCCATACTTATTGACAACGAGTATATACTTACATTTTCCCCAATTTACCCTTGGAAAATATGTAAATAGATTTTTTATTTTATCAAATCTTTTTTTTTTGGAATTATTTAGATTTTCATAAATATCATTCTTTACACCAGAAATGTTATTTATAAACAAGCGTGTGAGTTTAGTAATGACTAGTATATCACTATCGGACACGCAAGACAAAGATGTATATTACACCTGATAGTTTCAAAATGGAAAGTTACCGGCAAGTTAGTCGGCCGTGTACACTGATCAATACCCTCAGAAGTGAAGTGATGCACGAACTTGCTTTATGAAATTGTGTAATAAGAGTTTTAAAGCCCGACAGGAAATCGCTTGAATACCTGGACGTGTCACCTCACAATACCTCTGGGATTTCTTTAGCCATGCTAGTGATCAGATAAGGGAAGGTCCGAATTCATTTAAATAAGTTTATTACATAAAAGAATTATGAACAAACTAGATTTTCGAAAACAATTTTACACGGAACACTTATTTATGACTTTGAACTTTGACTATTAACTAATTTCCATTAAAATTACTTGTTTCAAAAACTTAGTTAAAAAAAAACGGTTTGAAAACTCTAGTAATTTTCAAAAAAAATATATAATTACATTTTCCGTATCAAGTTAGTTAGGAAAGGTTGCACAACCATGTCTATTACAATCTTTTTTGTGACCCGGGAAACTGTTTATGCTTTCCTTGTCGGATAAAACAACCGTACACTTGACAAGATATGTACACTCAATTACGGCTACGTTAGGTTACTGCTTGTTTTGGTCCTTTGTGGTTTATAGATATATCGTGGTCTCTATTCAGGGAGGATGTCAAAATGGCCGCATGCGGAGAACTGATACTCTAAATTTAAAATCGATGGTGATCTCTTATCTAACAGAATAAAACTTTAATATTTATGAATTTGTGCTTTTTTATACATAATGAACATAATATCAATTTTTCATTTTTTTGCGAAGTTTCCCTTTAAACTGAGTTTTGTGGTAATAAGCATTGTATATACATTTCATAACATTTAGTTGAGACAAACTGAAGTTGGAAACAAAAAATTCAGCAACTTTTCTATTTGTAAAAAAAACATAACTTTTGAACGGTAAAAGTGACGCCACCAAAACTCAAACTCAATCTGTGTTTTGTGGTAATGAGCATTGTGTATAAGTTTCATATCATTTGGTTGAGTCAAACTGAAGTGGGAGAACGTAACAAAAAATTCAGCATTTTTTTTCATTTGTAAAGGGGCATAACTCTTGAATGTTAAAAGTGATGCCACCAAAATTCAAACTTGTCTTGTGTTTTGTGGTAATAAGCATTGTGTTCAACGTTTCATAACATTTGGTTGAGGCAAACTAAAGTTAAAAAATCGAAACCAATTTTGGGACGTACGTACGTACAGACAGACAAGGGTTAAACTTAATGCCCCCTCAACTGCGGCAGGGGCAATAAAAAAATTCAGAGCAGAAATGATCATGAGGACAAGATTCACAAAATAATCACCAAAACAAAATCTTCAGATATTTTTTTTAATATTCAAAAGAAAATGTATGTTTTTTTTGGGGGAAAACTCAGAAGTACTCCATTTAAATGTTATTGCCACTGAATGTTAATCAAACAAATAACCATGGTAACTACATGTAGTATGTTTATTTGGGTACTGTTGTTTTGTGTATCATACTTTGATATTTTTATATTTTACATCAGATTTTAGTAAATTTAATTCTAAGTAATTAATGAGTAGTTTCTAGTCATGCATCAGTGGTTTTATTTATTGTAAGACTTCTTTCTTCATGGCTCAGTGAATTTTGATCCATTGAGTATTAGTTTACTCTCTAGGTTTAACTAGTTTGTGCTATGAAAACTCTATCTCCTTTATGATAATTGGTTCATTAAGTCATGTGTCTATTTAGGAGGGAAATTCTTTTGTTTAGCCAGACTTTACTTATATTTTGAACTGATTGGAGCTGTGCTGTTCCTTATATAATTTTATTCAAATTTGGTGGACATCTTTGATTTTTTTTCAAATAAGGTCAGTGTTCCATAATTAATACCTCACATGCCTTCTAATATACTGATATGAATTAATGTATTACATTAATGATTTTGTATGAATGGTCAAAATGAATGATTTCAGAATAAAAGGTTCAAATGAATGATTATTATGAAACACAAAAGCACATATTTATAAAATATTGGTTCAATCAGATAAGTCTAAATAATCATTTTATAAGAATTTATGCCAAACAATATTTGAATATCTCGGTTATTGCCAAAAAAATTAAAAGTAATTATGTATTGGACCCCCTTTTTTTTTTACATTTAATGTAAATGAATGGGGACATATGGTTGGAAACCCCTCCCCCTTTTTATCCTGGGTTGGAACCTCCCTCCCCCCTTATGTAATTGCTGGATCCGCCCCTGGAAACATAACAGCTTAAAGAAACTTCAAATTGCAAAAATGATCAACAAGACAATATCTACAAACAAGTCAAACTTTAACGAAATTAAAAACTACTCATTATTAGAGTTATTGACTGTTTAATGATGACTTTTATCATTTATTTTCCTTTTCTGAAAAACAATAATAATATTTTACATTTAACTATTATAGATAGAAAGCCACTTTAATAGCAAAAATGATCAGCAAGACAAGATCTACAAATATGTCAAATTTTGCCAAAATTGTGATTGCCCTTATATGACAAGTTTGCACAAACCAACACGCTCCCTAGAGCCATCTCGTTGATATTGTCATATTAAATGAACAGAGTTATCTTTCTTTGTACTGATTATTAATATTGCAGGGTCAGATTTTTATTATACTACCAAAACTACTCAGTTTTGTACAAATATTCTAAAAATAATATGCCTATTTATTTATCCTAATTGACATGTTTTTATGTTTTGCAGGAAATTTCTATTAGTAAATGAATCAAATGAAGAATCTTCATGGTTAAATGCATAGAAAGGATATTTGAAGAGAGCCAATGATTGACATAAGGAGAAGCAGTTATGAATTTTGAAATTGATATAAAGGAGAGGTCATTCATCACAGAAGATTTAATCAAAGTTTACAGGTAGGAGACTTGATCGGTTGATTTTTATCAATAGTCATAAATAAAAAAGATGTGGTACTATGATTACCAATGAGACAACTATCCCTGAGAGTCCAAATATTGCAGATTTAAGCAATGGTATGTTACTATGGCTTTCAACAATGAGCAAAACCCATACCATATCTTCAGCTATGCATCTGCTTAGACATTGCTTGTTTGCTGTAATGTGGCAAATGTTTAATGCATATTCAAGATGATATAAAATGTTAATAGATGTAAATAACTTAAGTACCTTCTAAAAATTTTGTAAAAATTGTTGGAGAGGGGAGGAACTAGCTATGGACGAAAGATAGGTGGTGGTGGCAATAAAATTTGCTTTGCAACAAACCATCTGCAGATTCTTCATATAAAAAGTTGTTACACAGGAGACGACCAGTAAATGAATAGAAATAGAAACATTTGCGTTCTTGTATTATCACTCAAATTTCCAGATCAGATCGAAATTTTTCTGTTAAATATATTGGTATGCAATCCTATACATGCTATAAGCATTTGCTCATCTCATTTCTATGGAAATTACATTGTACTGTTCCCTCATCATAGTTCATAATCTATGAAAAGTTAGTATCAGAAAAATGTAATTAATATAGGTTCAAGTTTGTGCTTCATCCAGTTTAGAGGGAACCGTTTATAAATTTAGTCAATGAATGGTACTTTTGGTATAAAATTGTATAAGAATGATTAGCATTGGCATTTCTTGTCTTCGTGGAAATTATTTAACCCTACATCTCAGTCTTAATTCATTGACATTGGCTACAGAATGTTTGCATTGTCACAAACAAAAAGAAGACATAGGTCTTATACTTCTTTGGCATTATGGTTTACATGTTTTATGAACAATTGCCATTTGAAATTCAGGAGTAACTTCAAGATATAATTTTTTTTATTCATTTTCCATATTCTACATGGACTATTGGACTAATATTCATAAATTCCATATTTTACCTGGTACTATTATACTCATCAGTTTCTAGGGTCAATATTTTGACCCTACTGTATAGATTTGTTTTTTACTGAAAAAACATATTGGCATAAAGGGACATAACTGATCATGAAGAATGGTAAAAGTGATGCTATCCAAATTTGTACTTGAACTGAGTTTTGTGGTAATAAGTATTGTGTATTATAACTTTCATACCATTTAGTTAAGGCAATCTAAAGTAAGAGAACTATATGACCTCAAATGCATTGATCGTTAAAAAAAGGGGGGTTCCAACCCCAGCAACCCTCCCCTGGATCTGCCATAATGGGGCCTCGGTTGCTGAATGGTCTAAGTAGTGAAACTACTGTATCACTAGCCTGTAAATAGATATAACAGTGATATCATACTTTAACTTTGTTTAAACCTGTTTATTTACTTTTGACTTTAATTATTTGTCCCTTGTAATTTTTTATTAACTGTGTATTTGCATTCAGGTGTCACAGGTCAAATTTATTTGTTCATTATGTGTTAATTTACGTTTTTTGATTGAGTTAAGCCTTCCAATTAATATTTTATAGTGTGTTTTTCTATGTTGTGATGTTATACTATTGTTTCAGAAAAGGGAGAAGGTTTGGTACCATTAAAACGTTAATCCCGCTGCAAATGTTTGCACCTGTCCTAAGTCAGGAATCTGATTACAGTAGTTGTCGTCTGTTTATGTAGTTCATACGTGTTTCTCGTTTCTCGTTTTAATATAGATTAGACCGTTGGTTTTTCCCTTTGAATGGTTTTACACTAGTATTTTTTTTGGGCCCTTTATAGCTTGCTGTTCGGTGTGAGCCAATGCTCCGTGTTGAAGGCCGTACCTTGTCCTATAATGGTTTACTTTTATAAATTTTAACTTGGATGGAGAGTTGTCTCATTGGCACTCATACCACATCTTCCTATATCTATATAAGAAGTTATCCCTGGCTCAGTATACTTCTAGGATATTGATTGTTTAACACACGTGGTTACAAAACCCATAGCCGCTGGGTGTTGCTAAACCATATACCGGGCACTTCAGTGGCGAAGCCAGGTTCTGTGTGCAAAGCTCTGGTAGGGGGCAAAGCCCGCCTGAAGCTCAGAGAATTAAGTAAACACAAAGAAGAATTTTGTTGTTGGAAATTTATCTGTTCTGTCTAATTTTCTTTAGAATTATATGTAATCAGGTAATGACAGGGTCCAGTTATACCTCGATAAACGGACATGAGTGTTGGACTGATTCAGTGACGACAATTTGTTTATAAACCAGTATAATGCTGCTCTACTAATTTGCCTATTGAATATGCTAGATAACTCGACAGAGACAATAGACCTTCAAAGAGTGATGCAAACAATTTTGTAATATATGTAGGCTGTAACATAATATTATGAAATAGATAATACATTGGCTTAGTCATAGGCCCGATCATTGCTGGTTTTTGGCCGCTATGACAACACCAAAGCAGTCAGCTGATTATGAACAAGTCAATACAGAAAAGGTGCACAAATAAAACCAATAGTTATGCATTTTTAAGATTGATTAGTACGAGGAAAAGGAGTCTGAAGAACAAATCATGCGGACTCAAAACAATCCAATTATTCAAGTTTGCTTGACATACCGATAAATGGGAATAAAAGGAAATGGTTACACGCAAGCGAGACAGCATTTTATCGACATAGATAAAAAAAAAAACGTCAAACGATATTAACAAACGTCCTCCAACAATGGACAAGTGTCTAAATAATATATATCAAGCTCTAAACCGGCCAGAGCAACACAGTTGTGAATACAATTTGCAGAGACTATAAAAGATCTGTCATTGACACCAAATTTCGAAAATGACAAAATTATAAAGATAGAGTGACTTCCTGACTTCATCTTGGGTAAAGCACATAATCATGAAGCGATGTGAAACCAATTTTTGAAATCGGTATCCTCCAATTTTTTTCAATGTGAATTAACGAAATTGTGGTGTATATATAAGACAGCAACCAAACGGCACACACAAATAATAAAAGACGTCTAGAGGTCAACGCATCTGGTTTTTAACTTGTTAACTGATAAGTGATTTGCAAATAACAACAATTTACTGGTTTCATTTAAGCAAGCAACATTTTTCTTTGTTTGGTATTATAAAATATGTCAACAACTTCTTTTCAAATCAATTTCAAAATCAGCATGAATGTGCAATAGTATTAGAGAAGATAGCCATTATTGTCCCATTGTATATCTAAGATAGGTTTTAACACGTTTCAGTTGCAGTTGTTGGTGGCATAGTAAGAAGAATTCTACAGTATATATTAGAATGCAGTTCTTTGTTTGTCGATTCCAATGTTTCATATAGTTGATCTGGTATCTTTCAACGAGCAACATATCTTTGGATCTCGAGAGGCTCATTGGCGTGATATATATACGCAACTGATCTTCGCGTTTTAACTCTTTAACATTCTGTGGAATTAGAAGGTGGGCGAGAAACATTTCCTCTGAATTAACCAGTCAATCCGTCTTTGAATTCGTATAGAAGATGGTATATGAACTGATGTAACTGATGGTAAAATATGGAAAAGTTTGGGTATTCTTATAAGTATCGATGAATAAATTCTCCCTCACTCTCACACTCTTTCTCAATCATTCTTTAAAAAAAAAGTCTTTCAAAACTTTTTTTTTGCCTGTTTGTTTGTGCACGCAAGTGCGTCGTTGCGTCAATAGTAGCTACGCCACTGCACTTGAACGTTGCTACCCAGTTTTCCTTAATTCCATGGTTGTTCCTTGTGAAATATTGAATTCTGTATATTATTCATTATGTCTAACAATGTTAGTCTTTTTTGCCAATCATTTGTACTCATTTTTGTCTCGCCTGCGACGAAAGTCGCAGAAAGTGAGACATAGGTATTACTATCCGGCGGCGGCGGCGACAGCGGCGTAAACTATTTGTATAAAGCTTTATATTTCAGAAGGTAGAAGACCTGGATGCTTCATACTTTGTATGCAGATACCTTATGTTACGAACTTTCCGTCTGTCATACGTCCAATGTCCTTGACCTTATTTTCATGGTTCAGCGACTGCTTGAAAAAAAGTTTAGTTTTTTTGTTATGTAAATTTCTCACTTATTATGAGTAATAGGATAACTATATTTGGTATATGGGTTCCTTGCAACGTCTACATGTCCATCAGACAGGGTTCGTCTGACCTCAGCCTCATTTCATGGATCAGTGATCAAGGTTAAAGTTACGTGATTAGGTCCGTTTCTCAGATACTACAAGCAGTAGGTCAGCTATATGTGGTGTATGGAATGATTATAAGGGATACATGTCAGTCTGGCAGGTTTCATCTGACCTTGACCTCATTTTCACGGTTCATTGGTCAATGTTAAGTTTTTGTGTTTTGGTCTGTTTTTCTAATACTATAAGCCATTGGTCAACTATATTTGGTGTATGGAATGATTGTAAGGTGTACATGTCTGTCTGGCAGGTGTCATCTGACCTTGACCTCATTTTCATGGTTCAGTGGTTATAGTTAAGTTTTTGTGTTTTGGTCTGTTTTTCTTATACTGTATGCAATAGGTCTACTATATTTGGTGTATGGAATGATTGTAAGGTGTACATGTCTAGCTGGCAGGTGTCATCTGACCTTGACCTCATTTTCATGGTTCAGTGGTCAAAGTTTAGTTTTTGAGTTTTGGTCTTTTTTTCTAATACTGCATGCAATAGGTCTACTATATTTGGTGTATGGAAATATTTTATAATCAATATGTCAGTCACGCAGGTTTTAATTGACCTTGACCTCATTTTCAAGGTTCATTGCTCAGTGTTAAATTTTTGTGTTTTGGTCTGTTTTTCTTAAACTATAAGCAATAGGTCAACTATATTTGTTGTATGGAAGAATTGTTATCTGTACATGCCTGCCTAGCATGGTTCATCTGACCTTGACCTCATTTTCATGGTTCATTGGTCAATGTTTAGTTTACTTGGTTAATGTTAAGTTTATGTGACAGTTGTAATAAAGCTTTATATTTAGGACTATCAACATAATATCAATGATTAGTAAAGAAGGCGAGACATTTCAGCGTGTGCACTCTTGTTAGTAAATGCATCGCTTGGCTGCCACATTCAGTGGCGTAGCTACCCAAGGATCGACTAGACACGTGCCTATACATAAATTTGCCAATTATATACCCCTTTGGAATAAAAAAAAATGCACATTGTAATTCTAATGCGTATTATTATTTATACGGTGCCCGTCCGTATTCAAACACCGATCTGTACCCTTCGGTGCATAGGATTATTTTGATTTTATTAACAATGCCCGTTTCATCGGCAACTAGTGAAAGATCCTTCAGTGCGATGTGACGCATCAAGTCCTACCTGAGATCGGAGATGAGCGACTTTCTAATCTATCCCTTCTTCATACCCACCCACACCTCAATGTTGAAGTTGATGAGAGTATAACTGATTTTATTGGCAGAAAAAAAACGTTGACTTGACTTTGAATAAGTGTATCATTGACTTTGTGTATGAAACTGGATCTGAAAGTTATTCATAAAAGTTCAGAAATTTTAGATTTGTTTAACAATTTTTCCCCAATGAGTTAAAAGATTCGTTCGAAAAAGTTGAAAATCGTTTCCCTTGACCCTCTGTGGGCCTTAAGCTTAAAATAGTCCAAACAAATTTTCGCCTCGCTCTCTGCACGCTAATAACACTTGCAACAACTCTTTGAGGGGTCTGCTGAAAGGCAAAATATCTGTCCCTATCCAATAAAGATCAATAAACCCTAATTTTCCAATGGCATATTCAAAAGTTCAGACCTTCATCCTGGACGACCCCTATTACAGGACCTAGTGGCTAACTGTTGTATTTACTAGTATCGTAAATTTGTTTTTGTCCTGATCATGCAAAACTATTTGCTACTGGATGTTTAGCAATAAATCAATCAACTATCTTCCAGTAATCTCAGATCTATGTGTAAAGACCACATTAATTCAAATTCCTAAGCAGGTAGGGATTTAATTTACAGTAGAGGATATAAGAAAATATGAATTTCTTGAATATTGTTACGATAGTATGAACAGAACAGAACTTCTGCATTAGGCATCGACTGTGTCTGTGTTTGTGTGGCTGGGGTGAAGGTTTAAGAATCAAAAGATCAATGGTTCAGGTTGATGTCTACCCCAAAGCATAGTATTATTATATAGTAATCTCAGTGTTTACGTGCCTATTTTTAGCTCACCTGGGCCAAGTGAGCTTTTCTCGTCACTTGGCGTCCGTCGTCTGTCGTCCGTAAACTTTTACAAAAATCTTCTCCTCTGAAACTACTGGGCCAAATTTAACCAAACTTGGCCACAATCATCATTGGGGTATCTAGTTTAAAAAATGTGTGCGATGACCCGGCCAACTAACCAAGATAGCCGCCATGGCTAAAAATAGAACATAGGGGTAAAATGTAGATTTTGGCTTATATCTCTGAAACCAAAGCATTTAGAGCAAATCTGACATGGGGTAAATTTTGTTAATCAGGTCAAGATCTATCTGCCTGGAATTTTTTTTGACAAATCGGACACCCCGTCGTTGGGTTGCTGCCCCCGATTTAGTAATTTTAAGGAAATTCTGCAGTTTTTGGTTAAAATCTTGAATATTATTATAGATAGAGATAAACTGAAAACAGCAATAATGTTCAGCAAAGTAAGATCTACAAATAAGTCAAATGACCTAAATTGTCAGTTGACCCCTTAAGGAGTTATTGCCCTTTATAGTCAATTTTTAACCATTTTTCAAAAATTTTAGTAATCTTTTAAAAAAATCTTCTCCTCTGAAACTACTTTGACAAATTTAAACAAACTTGGCAATCATCATCTTAAGGGTATGTAGTTTTAAAAATGTGTCCAATGACCCTGTCCACAAACCAAGATGGCCGACATGGCTAAAAATAGTATATAGGGGTAAAATGCAATTTTTGGCTAATATCTCTGAATTCAAAGCATTTAGAGCAAATCTCATTCATTAAAATATGTTCAATAAGTCAAGATCTAACTGCCCTGAAATTTTCAGACAAATCAGGCAACCTGTTGTTGGGTTCCTGCCTCTGAATTGGTAATTTTAAGAAATTTTGCAGTTTTTGGTTATTATCTTCAATATTATCTTAGATAAAGATAAACTGTAAACAGCAATTATGTATAGCAAAGTAAGATCTACAAATAAGTCAACTTGACCAAAACGGTCAATAAGGAGTTATTGCTTTTTATAGTAAATTTTAAAGAATTTTCGTAAATTATGTAAATTTTTGTAATTTTTATACGACCGCAAAAAAATTTTGTGGACGTATATTGGTATGACATTGACGTCGTCGTCGTCCGAAGACGCATTAGTTTTCGCACTCTAACTTTAGTTTAAGTCAATGGATCTCTATGAAATTTTACCATAAGGTTCAATACCACAAAAGGAAGGTTGGGATTGATTTTGGGGGTTATGGTACCAATAGTTAAGGAATTAGGGGCCAAAAAGGGGCCAAAAATAAGCATTTTTGTAACTTCCAGACATAACTTGTGTGTTAGTGTATGGATCTCTCTGACATTGTACCACAAGATTCCATATCACAAAGGGAATGCTGGGATTGATTTTGGGGGTAATTGCCTCAAAATTTTAGGAATTAGGGGCCAAAAAAGGGGCAAAAAACAAGCAAATTTATATGGACAAATACGTTAGTACAAAACATAATTTAAAGCAGTGTAAGGGAGATAAATCAAATACATCATTTGAATTATCTCCCTTACACTGCTTTTAAATTATGTATAAAGTAATGGTTAATGAACAATTAAGACAATTTAAAACAGTGTAAGGGAGGTAATCCACATACAACGTTTTGATTACTTCCCTTGCACTGCTTTTAAATTATGTTTAAAGAAATGCATATTTATAAAAGGAAGACCAGTAAAAATATCTGCAAATGTTTACAAAAAAATCCATATGAAAGATTTGACACCATATTTTAAATTCTATTATAAAATAGATTAAGTTAGCACTATGGTAAATTTAAATGGGTAAGTATGGTTGCAAATTCCATTGGAAATTTGAATTTAGATTATGATCATATCTTGAGGGAAAGAATTTTTTGGGGGAAAAAGGGGGGGGGGGGGGTAAAAAGAAATTGTGGGGGTCAATTTTTTCTCATTTCAGATTTCAGAAATTAAAAAGAATTATTCTTCAAATATTATTTTTTTTTCAAATTTCAAATATTGAAAAATTTCAAGAAGTAATCTTTAATTGCACAGTATGGCGCATTAGATTTGTAAAATCTTTGACCACATTTATTTATTTGTTATGCCAAATCTGACCATGTATTTAGATTTTTAATTTTGGGTCCAGTTTTCAAATTGATAAAATTGAGAATGGAAATGGGGAATGTGTCAAAGAGACAACGACCCGACCATATCTTGGTCTACATTAAGGTCCAAAGGGTCCAAAATTAAACTTAGTTTGATTTTAACCAAAATTGAATATATGGGGTTCTTTGATATGCTGAATCTAAACATGTATTTAGATTTTTGATTTTGGGCCCAGTTTTCAAGTTGGTCCAAATTGGGGTCCAAATTTAAACTTTGTTTGATTTCAACAAAAATTGAATATATGGGGTTCTTTGATATGCTGAATCTAACCATGTATTTAGATTTTTTATTTGTGGGCCCCACTATCAAATTGGTTCATATTGAGGTCAAAAGGGTCCAAAATTAAACTTTGTTTGATTTTATCAAAAATTGAATTATTGGGGTTCTTTGATATGCCAAATCTAACCATGTATTTAGATTTTTAATTTTGGGTCCAGTTTTCAAATTGGTCTACATTAAGGTTCAAAGGATCCAAAATTAAACTTAGTTTGATTTAAACAAAAAATGAATATATGGGGTTCCTTGATATGCTGAATCTAAACATGTATTTAGATTTTTGATTTTGGGCCCAGTTTTCAAGTTGGTCCAAATTTGGGTCCAAAATTAAACTATGTTTGATTTCAACAAAAATTGAATATATGGAGTTCTTTGGTATGCTGAATCTAACCATGTATTTAGATTTTTTATTTGTGGGCCCCGCTATCAAATTGGTTCATATTGAGGTCAAAAGGGTCCAAAATTAAACTTTGTTTGATTTCATCAAAAATTGAATTCTTTGGATTCTTTGATATGCTGAATCTAACCATGTATTTAGATTTTGGATATTGGACCATACTAGGTAAATTAAAAAAAATTTAAGTTCTTAGACCACATTCATTCTGTGTCAGAAACCTATGCTGTGTCAAATATTTAATCACAATTCAAATTCAGAGCTGTATCAAACTTGAATGTTGTGTCCATACTTGCCCCAACTGGTCAGGGTTCGACCTCTGCGGTCATATCAAGCTGCGCCCAGCGGAGCATTTTATTTACAAAATATTTTCCTTTGAAACTACTGAGCCAAGTTCATTATAGATAGAGAAAATCGAAACAGCAAGAATGTTCAGTAAAGTAAGATTGACAAACACATCATCATCACCAAAACATCATTTTGTCATGAATTCTATTCTCATCTATTATGTATGTCCTTTGTTTAGTATGAACATAGACCAAGGTGAACGACACAGGCTCTTTAGAGCCTCTAGTTTTGTACTTATATCAGGCCATTAGTTTTCTTGTTTGAATTATTTTACTATGGTAATTTTGGAGCCTTTTATCTATGACCATGTTCTGTGACTTAAAGTAGTTAATTTCTGTGCCATTTGGTCTCTTGTTGAGATTTGTCTCATTGGCAATCATTCCACATCTTTTTTATTATCATTTACCAATTATTCAAAATTGATTAAACAAAACTTTACATATGAATGGCTGATTAAACTTAAACATGCATACTTTAGGGATAATAAATCTTATTTTTACTTTTCAGTATGTTGAGAGAAGTTCAGAACAAGCAATTGGGTTGAAGAGGAGTTGTCAACACGTCATCTTTGAACAAGGTCAATTGTATTAGAAGTGAATCCTTAACAGAAATGAGACAATAATCAAATAATTCAAAGACTACATGGATGTTATCTGGACTAGCATTTGTATGACCTAAATGTGGTATTTTTCATATGAACACTTACAAGGCAGATAATAGTCTGTGACAAACATTTGTATGCAATTAAAAACTTAAAGAACTTGTACGGTATTCTTCAGATTTCAGTAGAATTTGTTTAAAACGGTACATTCTTGGTATGAATTGAAGAATTTTTGCTCATTTAAATGAATTATGAAAATGTTTTATATGTTTAGAATAAACAAAAACAACATAAAAGATAGACAAATTTTTATTTTCTTTCTTGAAACTTATAACAGAATAAATTGTCATATGCTAATTCTTGATAGATGTGCTGCCAGAAATTTATCAAGTCTATTTTTAGCCTGAAAGTGCAACTCAATGCACGGGTTATACACACAGGAAACTACATTTATCTCTCAACCATATAAAAAATAAGGATATATGGAAGGGTTGCCAATGAGAATAACTATCCTTGAATGCCAATGATATCTTATAAACTATATAAGATATCTCATTAACTATATAAGATATCTTATAAACTATATAAGATATCTTATAAACTACATAAGATATCTTATAAACTATAAAAGATATCTTTAATATAAACTATATAAGATATCTCATATAATTTTATAAGATATCTCACATATTATATAAGATATCTTATATAGTTTATAAGATATCTTATATAGTTTATAAGATATCTTATATAGTTTATGATATGTTATATAGTTTATAAGATATCTCATATAGTTTTTAAGATATCTCATAAAATTAATAAAATATCTTTTAAACTATATGAGATATCTTATAAAATTCAGAAGATATCTTATAAAGTATGTAATATATCTTATATACTTTATGAGATATCTTATATAATATATAAGATATCTATATCTTATATAATATATAAGATATCTCATTTGATATATAAGATATTGTATAAAAATAAAATTATAAGCTATCTTATATATTAAATAAGATATCTTATACATTAAATAAGATATCATATATTAGATATCTTATATATTATATAACATATCTTATATATTATATGAGATATCTTGAAATTCGAATAAATAGTAAAATGACTTTCCACCTAAGAACAAGTCATTGTTAAATAGATATAAGAATATGTGGTATGAGTGCCAATGAGGCAACTCTCAATCCAAGTCATATGATTAAAGACAAAAATTGAGAATGGAAATGGGGAATGTGTCAAAGAGACAACAACTCGACCATAGGGCAGACAACAGCTGAAGGCCCCTTATGGGTCTTGAATGCAGCTAGAAACTCCCGCACCCTAATGCGTCCTTCAGCTGGCCCCTTAACATATATACTAGTTCAGTGATAATGGACATCATACTAAACTAATTATACACAAGAAACTACAATTGAAAATCATACAAGAGTAACAAAGGCCAGAGGCTCCTGAATTGGGACACGCACAAAATTGTGGCGGGGTTAAACATGTTTTTTTGAGATCTCAACTCTCCCCTTATACCTCTAGCCAATGTAGAAAAAAAAATTGCACAAAAATACGCACAGTGAAACTCAGTTTAAGAGTTGTCTGAGTTCGATGTCAGAATATGAAACAAAAGAAAATAAACAAAATGACAATAATACATAAATAACAACAGACTGCTAGTAGTTACTGACATGCCAGCTCCAGACCTCAACTTTTTACATTTTCATATCTTTCTGGTTTTACTTTATAGTTGAGTTGCTGTAACACTGTGTTTACCGGAATGCCACATGTTCTTCAATCCTTAAGAAAACCATCAAGAATTTCAAAACTAGATATATTTTACAGAGAAGTTATTTCACTTCTTAACACAGGCAACTTGGAATCAAGGTTTTTGATATTATTTCACTTCTTACCACAGGCAACTTGGAATCAAGGTTTTTGTTATTATTTCAGTTGTAACATTTAAAAATTATTTTCAGTGACTGACATGAAAAACATGACAACGTTATGTATCAGTTAGCATTGGATACTTGTGTATACGTATGACGAAGTTAAGCCGCGCTCTGTGTTTGGGGTTCAAAGATACTATACCTCCTTTTTAGGTATAGGAACGTCCCCCATCATACGTATCAAGTATCCATTCTTACTGGTACGTTAAACTGAGAGTGAGGTGGCTCAGTTTGACTGATGTGCGATGGCTCAGTCAAAATATTTTTTGCTATTCCTGGCACAAACTGAGAGAGAGGTGGCTCAGTCTGCATGTGAAGCTCTGTAACATGCTTTTAATGGGAAAACTGAGAGCGAGGTGGCTCAGTCTGCATGTGAAGCTCTGTAACATGCTTTTAATTGTAAAAAGTATTTTATTTGTTTTTATCCAAATTTTAATTGGGGATATTTTATTGTTTTTACTGGAACAAACTGAGAGTGAGGTGGCTCAGCCTGCATGTGAAGCTCTGTAACATGCTTTTAAGGGGAAAAAAGTATTTTATTTGTTTTTATCCAAATTTTAATTGGGGATATTTTACTGTTTTTATCCAAATTTTAATTGGGGATATTTTATTGTTTTTACTGGAACAAACTGAGAGTGAGGTGGCTCAGCCTGCATGTGTAGCTCTGTAACATGCTTTTAAGGGGAAAAAAGTATTTTATTTGTTTTTATCCAAACATTAATTGGGGATATTTTACTGTTTTTATCCAAATCTTAATTGGGGATATTTTATTGTTTTTACTGGAACAAACTGAGAGTGAGGTGGCTCAGTCTGCATATGAAGCTCTGTAACATGCTTTTAAGGGGAAAAAGTATTTTATTTGTTTTTATCCAAATTTTAATTGGGGATATTTTACTGTTTTTATCCAAATTTTAATTGGGGATATTTTATTGTTTTTACTGGAACAAACTGAGATTGAGGTGGCTCAGTCTGCATGTGAAGCTCTGTAACATGCTTTTTAGGGGAAAAAAGTATTTTATTTGTTTTTATCCAAATTTTAACTGGGGATATTTTACTGTTTTTATCCAAATTTTAATTGGGGATATTTTACTGTTTTTTATCCAAATTTTAATTGGGGATATTTTATTGTTTTTACTGGAACAAACTGAGAGTGAGGTGGCTCAGTCTGCATGTGAAGCTCTGTAACATGCTTTTAAGGGGAAAAAAGTATTTTATTTGTTTTTATCCAAATTTTAATTGGGGATATTTTACTGTTTTATCCAAATTTTAATTGGGGATTTTTTACTGGAACAAACTGAGTGTGAGGTGGCTCAGTCTGCATGTGAAGCTCTGTAACATGCTTTTAAGGGGAAAAAAGTATTTTATTTGTTTTTATCCAAATTTTAATTGGGAATATTTTACTGTTTTTATCCAAATTTTAATTGGGGATATTTTTCTGCATTTATCCAAATTTTAATCGGATATTTTACTGTTTTTATCTAAATTTTAATTAGGGATATTTTACTGTTTTTATCTAAATTTTAATTAGGGATATTTTACTGTTTTTATCTAAATTTTAATTGGAGATATTTTACTGTTTTTATCCTAATTTATAAGTTGAGGCAGGTCATTTTATGTTTATTTGGGAAATGAGGGACTTTTTACATTATTTTATCCATTTGGGTGTGGGGGACAAAGGGAATATTTTACTTTTTAAGACCAAATTTTAATTTATACAGGAGACCTTTTTTTTTTATCTTTTTTTAGTTAAATGTTGAGCCCCCAAGTCAAATCAAAGACTTAAAATCTGGTACTCCAAAAGGAAAAGATAGGTGACCTACTGTGGGCATTTGTCTTGGTGAACTAGCACCTTAAAGTCCAGCAAACCCACAGGCCGGCTGGCTAGTACAAGCAGACAGGTATTTTTAATACCGTTTGGCATTTTTCATTTGGCTTTTTGTTTTATGTGTTTTTGAACTATTTGGATTTATACCATTTGGCAATTTTCATTTATGTTTTTTTCATTTTTTTTCAACATATTTTGTAATCAACACACCAAAAACACTTCAAAATTAAGAGTGGGATATATACTTTTTGGCCTCCATAATGTTTATCAATCAAAACAGCATTCTATTTTCAAATTTACATTACACAATTTGGCTTTCTGTAACGTTGGCTGTTAATCTTTTGTACGAATGCTATGATGACCATTATGTGTAGAAAATAAGACTACATTTCTAAAAGTGGCTCAAGTTCATATATTTATGTTTGATATCAATCAGTTCTAAATTTCCTTCACATTTCTAAAATTTTAAGATCTTCCATATCTGGTGCATCTTATAATATCGTATTCATCTACTAACCCAATTTTCTCATAGGGACTTTACACGAAGCAGAAGGGGTATTAGGTGGTAGGTGGTTAAGGGTGTTATGAAAGGGTGAGAAAGGGAGGAAGAAAAATAGAATGATGGAGAGGGTGAGGGTATATGATCGTGAGTGGAATATAGAGAGGGAGTTAATCTGTGAGAGAATGTGATTTCATAGTAAGGGCAGGGTGTACTGGTCTGGAAGTATAGTTTCTGTTTTGTCTCATGTAGTTTCTGTTTTCTACATCAATCTGATAAGTTTAAATATTGAGAAATTGCTGTCGTCTAAAAGTTCACAGGTTAACAGCCTTTCTTGTTACTGTTTATGTGCTGCTTATATATAAATATTGTAGCACTTCTCAGTAGCTAGATAGAGTTGTGGCTTTTCATCAAATTAAGCAGCAGCTTCTGTACAGTTCATGTTGGAATGATACCAAGTGCTGTGTTTTTCTTTCAAGTTGAGAACATTTTTGATCTTCATGAACTAGTAATTACACATGATGAAGCTTTTTATGGCCCCGCAACAAAGCTGTCGGGGCCATATAGTTTTACCCTTGTCTGTCATTCCATCATTCCGTCAATCCATCTTTCCATCATTCTGTCATTCCGTCATTCCGCAACAAACCATTATACGGGCTTTTTTTCTAACTGCCTTCAGATATTAGGCTGATTTTTGGTATGTGAGTTCACCATGATGAGTTTTAGATGAAGTTTTAGTTTCGTTCTGGTCCGCTAATTTTTGCCAAAATTACAGGCTTTGGACTTCGATAAATTGTTGAAAATCACAGTTATACAGACTTTTTTTTCTAAAGGCCTTCAGATATTGGGCTGATTTTTGGTATGTGAGTTAACCATAATGAGTTACAGATCAAGTTTGAGTTTTGTCCTGCTCTACTATTTTTGCCGAAATTACGGGCTTTGGACTTCGATAAATTGTTGAAAATCACAGTTATACAGGTTTTTTTCTAAACGCCCTTCAGATATTGGGCTGATTTCTGGTATGTGAGTTAACCATGATGAGTTACAGATCAAGTTTATGTTTAGTTCCGCTTTGCTAATTTTCCCCAAAATTACAGGCTTTGAACTTTGATAAATGGTCGAAAATCACAGTTAAATGGAGTTTTTTAAAGCCTGAAGATTTTGAGCAGAATTTTGATATGTGAGACTACCATCATGTTTGTGTTCACATGTGTTGTTGAAATTGCAGATTTTTCAACTTTTTGAGACAGGGCCATTCGTGTCGTTTCGACACATCTAGTCTTTTTTTGCAACATGTTTTTTTTATCAACACAACCAAAACACTTCAAAATTAAATATACACTTTTGACATTCATAATGATTATCAATTATTTTCAAATTTACATTAAATAATCAAATAACTTTAGTATAAGTAAATAGAAATGTATGAAATTTGAACACAAGGTTTATAACCACACAAGAAAGGTTGGGGTTGATTTAAGGGGTTGTGGTCCCAACAGTTTAGGGATTTAAGGAGGCAAAAAGGGGCCCAAAAAAACATTTTTCTAGTTTCCAGACAATAACTTGTGGAACATTGTATGGATCTCTCTGAAATTATACCACGATTTTCCATTCCTCAAAAGGATGGTTAGGATTGGCTTTTGAGGGTTATAGCTTAAACCAATTAGGAATTGGGGGCAAAAAAGGGGGAAAACAATGATTTCCTGTTTGATGGACTATTACTTATTTAAGTACATGAATGTTACGTTTGAATTACATCCCTTACACTACTTTTAAATCATGTATAACGAAATGTATTGTCTTGAGGTGATTTGCTGCCAATTTGTTTTTAGAAAAAAGTAAAATCACAAAAATACTAAACTCTGAGAAAAATTCAAAACGGAAAGTCCCTAATCAAATGGCTAAATCAAAAGCTCAAACACATGAAATGAACGGATAACAACTATCATATTCTGACTTGGTACAGACACTTTCTTATGTAGAAAATGGTGGATTGAGCCTGCTTTTATAACTAGCTAAACCTCTCACTTGTATGACAGTCACATCAAATTCCATTATATTGACAACGATGTGTGAACAAATCAAACAGACATAACAGGTGAAAATGTCAAAAATACAGCCATCAAGAGAGAACTAACTGTTTTAAAAAAGAATTTTAGGATGTATTTAAATGGGAAATTATGGTTGCAAATTCTATTTGGAATTTTAAATTGTAGATTACAGAAATTTCAGAAATTAAAAAGACATTTTCTTTAAATATAATTTATTTTTGCCAAAAAAAAAAGGGGAGGTGTCAATAAACAACAGCATAATAGTGTATTGCACAAGAGCAAAAAAAAAAAATGAGGGGTCAATACGCAACAGAAAGCTTAAGGGGTGTATTTTTTGGGGTAGGGGGGTCAATTCGCAACGATATAGTGTATTGCATATAAGCCAAAAAAATAATATAAATTGAAACATATAACCAATTTTAAGTTCCTTGACTACAGTTATTCTCTGTCAGAATCCTATTATGTGTCAAATATTTAATTACAATCCATATTCAGACCCAAGCGCGAATATTGTGTCCTTTTTTGCCCCAACTGTTCATGGTAGGACCTCTGCGGTCGTATCTAGCTGCGCTCGGCGAAGCAATTTATTATCTTTGAAATGTTTTGTAGGAAGTCTGCTTCACAGAAATACAAAACAAGTCGGTCATTAGGGATGACCAATAAGTACCCATAAGTGAGACTATAAAACATAACAAGGTTGAGAAAAATAAAATTTGGTACATTATAAACCTATAATAATGTAAGCTCTGTACAACTTTTTACCAACGAACAAATAAAAGTCGTATACAATTCATGTAAACAATTTAAGACATGCAAATAAAATAAAATGCATATCAATATGAAAGCATTATTAAGTGAAACAAGATGTCACAGTGCTCATGATAGCAACACTGAAAAAAGCACAGTTAAATTGAGCGCAGAGCCGGAATATAAAAGTAAAAACAAAGCAAAGGAGAAACTGAATATAAAGTACCGATGATAAAAGTATGTATGCAGTACCAGTGAAGATCCAGAAATTTTGATAAAGGGGATGGTAGTGTCCAAGAGGGGTCCCACTCCAGTCATGCTTCACTGATCCCTAAATAACTTAGTTAGTCAAACGAATTTTCCTACAAAGGGACCGGGACCCCTGTCCCCCACTTAATACGCCCCTGAGTACAAGTCATATTTTATGCCCATTATAGAATGACACGATTTCCCCGCTATAAATAACATTATCTTTAGTTTAGAATGAACAGTGTTTTCACAAGGTTCAGTTACAATTCATATTACATATAGATTTTTCTTTTAAATAATCATAACAGATATAAGTTTTAAGAATGTTCTAATTTACGAAAACAGGTTTGGTATTTGAATGTTAAATAAAACTGTTATTATAATAGTTTCCCAAAATAAAACCTTCCTCATTCAAAATATCTCTGACCATTGGCTATCGAACGGAGCAACAGGAGTACTTCTGTTTATTAAATAAAACCAACCGGAAGTTAGGTTGTTGTCGTGACTTTTCTACCAACTCATCCAAAGTGCAATATTGTTGTGTGATTTTACTTTATTCACGTGCTTTAGATAGATGACAACACAAATTACTATCAAGATAGATAAACAGAAGCTAAATTTTATTTACAATTTAAGTATCCAAATATTGTATGCTTTGTCATTACATAATTCAACCGACTAGATCTACAACAACCTATTCTCGGGAACCAGGTTCTGTAACCAACATCCTACAGACACTTGGCTGGTCAACACTAGCAACACGCAGACAAGGAGCCAGGCTTATACTCCTATATAAGATCCTGCATGGAGAAGCATCAGTCATTATCCCAGATTACATCAGGAGACCAACTGTAACAACCAGACAATACCACAGGCACAGAGACAGGTTTTCCAGAGTCAGCACTTCAACGGATGCCTATAAATACAGTTTCATCCCCAGAACAAATTTTTGACTGGAACCAATTACCTGAAAGTGACATCCAAGCCCCCACAACAGACGGCTTCCGGGTCTGTGTGTGGCAGTTCCTGGCGTAACTATTGATACCAGATTTTAACCCTGTACAGTTGCTGCAAACTTACATAATTTTATTTGATTTTGTTCCTGTAAATACACAAGTTTTTGTTTATTTTTAACTTGGCGTGTACTGGTTGACACACCCGCACAGTATATCTGTGTTATGGAAATTTCAACTGCAGATTAACCACAAAATATAGAAGAAGAAGTACAATAAACACTAGACAACAGGAATGACAGGATATATCTTCTGGGGGGTAAATGGTTAAAACTAGATATAAACAGATTAACTTACTAATGTTCTATTATATACTGGTAAAGTACTAGGGTATCAGTACTAGGGTATCAGGTTGTTCTGGCCCAAAATCAATCTGGCCCCAAAACAATCTGGTTAATTACACTGTGACCAATATTTACGACGGAAGCTTGATCAAATGTCGACAACCCATTTATGGTATTCAACAGCTCATTGGTCAGAGCTCTAGTCAAATCAGTATCCGGTCAAATCGGCACCCGGTATAGTCAAATCAGCACCTAGTCAAATTGGCACCTAGTTAAATGGCACCTGATGTAGTCTTTAGGCACACATGATAAATATATTTAACCCCAAAAATTTTTTTTGGATTGTATAATGGTATGATGTCGTCGTCTGCGTTGTCCGATGACACATTTGGTTTCCGGACAATAACTTTAGTTTACATGAATGGATCTCTTTCAAATTTAATAAAAACGTTCAATACCACAAAAGAAAGGTTGGGATTGATTTTGGGGTTGATGGTCCCACCGGTTAAGTAATAATAGGCCCAAAAAGGCCCCAAAACAAGCATTTTTCTACTTTCAGGATAATAACTTGTGTATAAGTATTTCAATTGCTCTGAAATTGTACCATAATGTTTAATACCACAAGTAAAAGGTTTGGATTCATTTTGCGGTCTATGGTGTCAACAGTTTAAAAGAATTAAGGGCCCAAAAGGGGCCAAAAACAAGCATTTTTGTAGTTTCTGGACAATAACTTGTGTGTAAGTGTATAGATCTCTCTTATATTGTACCACAAAGTTCCATATCACAAAAGGAAGACTTAGATTGAGTTTGGGCATTATTGTCCCATTCATGCAAGAATTAGGGGCCATAAAAGGGCCAAAAACAAGCATTTTTCTAGTTTCCAGACAATAACTTGTTGTAGTTTACAGTCAATAACTTGTGTTTAAGTGTATAAATCTCTCTGAAATTATACCACAAGTTTCCATACTACAAAGGGATAGTTATTTGGGGTTATGGCTTAAATCATTTAGCAATTAGGGGCCAAAAAAAGGGGGAAATACATGTTTTTCTGGTTAAAGGACAATTTAGACAATTTAAAAGCTGTGTTAGGGAGGTAATCCAATTTAAATTTAAAGAATACTGTTATATAAATGTTTGATTACCTCCCTTACACTGTTTGAAAATTATGTATTAAGAAATGATGATTGTCTTGAGATGATAAGCTGTAATTTTATTTAGAAGTAATACTATTCATTTATATTAATTTTAACCATGACTATGTCATTTTATATTTTTATATTTTATGATGTATTTATTAAATGAGTAGTTATTGTTTAAAACTCCATAAGAAATTTGAATTGAGATTATTATTGGAATAAAGGAAACGAGAAGATGAAAAAAAAGGGGGGGGGGGGTGTAGGGGGGAGACGGGGGTACAATTTTTCTCATTTCAGATTTCTTTAAATATTTTTTTTTAGGGGATTAATATTCAACAGCATAGTGTGTTACTCAAAAGCAAATGAATTTTTTAAGTTCATTAGACTACCAGAAACCTATACTGTGTCAACTATTTAATCACAATCCAAATTCAGAGCTGTATCAAGCTTGAATGTTGTGTCCATACTTGTCCCAACTGTTCAGGGTTCGACCTCTGCAGTCGTATAAAGCTGCACCCTGCGGAGCATCTGGTTACTTTATGTTTACATTAATATTTGAAGATTTGAACAAATCAAAGGGGAAACCAGGCATTATCTTGCATAATATGAAAAAGAAGATGTGGTACGATTGCCAATGAGAAACGAGCCACAAGAGACCAAATGACACAGAAATTAACAGCTACAGGTCACCTTACGACCTTTTACAATGAGCAAAGCCCATACATATAAGTTCTTTCAGTAATTTAACATGCCTAAATACCTTTGCTTACCATGATAAAAAGTTGAATAATGGAGATAAAGGGTATAATATATCAATGAGACAGCAACTTAATGACACAAAAAGTAAGAAGACATTTAAATATCAACACCAAAGCATCAAAGACCATTTGGATTGTATCTAAAAACCACAGGGTTAAGATTTTAAATACCTGGTTAAACTGTTGTATAACATTTCAAATACTGTTAATACAGAAATTATTGTATGGTTTTTATATTGTGAATGATATGGTTTTTTTTACTGACCCTGGTTATCCATGAGGGTCTTGCATGGTCGTATATGTGAATAATGTATCTGGGTGGGTATCACCAGGTGTATATGTATACACAATATATTGTGAGATGAAGCATAGCCAGACAACTGCCAGGGGTGTAGCTAGGTATCCAATAAACTGAAGGCACAAATTGCGGCAGGGGGTCTGGGGCCCCATAAGGCCCCTGGTAAGGGGTTCTGGGGGCGTAGCCCTCCGACGGAAAACAGTTTTCAGCATTTAAGTTGCAAAATTTTGTGTACAAAAAAACATAAAAAAACGTCATTTTATCATGATAATATACATGAAAACAATGTCGAAAAAATAAACATAATTCTACAATTACATCTGACTGATGAATTAACCGGCAGTACAATTGGAAATATAAAAAAAAAAACAATATCTATTTACTATTAATAAGCTAGGTGCATTTTTCTATATTTTTTTTATCTTAGGAAATTACTATTGAAACATTGTTTATCTGTTATCTTGAAATTATCGTTTGAAAAGGATGTTTTTTTATAGAGATGACTTAAGCCAATCAGAAAGTCAGACTAGAGGTCACATGTCTGGCATTTCATTCTCCTGTCTCATATTCTAAAATGTTATGGATAATTAAAACATTGTTGTGATGTCATTCTATTGTTTTACCCGTTCTTTATTTCAGTAGACCTCCTCTTTCTTAAAAATATTGGACAGCTAAAGGGTAGCATTACTGATTCTTACAGATAAATGATAGTTCAATCACTGAAATAAAAAAAAAACTATTAATTACCCCAATTGTTTTCATCATGTAAACAAAAATAAAACCGAAGATCAAATGACAATTAAAAAAACATTTTATTAAAGTCACCTTCCGATACAATAATTTTGTCCCTCATCAAAACGGTTTCTTGAGAAAAAAATCACTTTCAAATTGATTTTTGTCTCGCTTGACGGAGTCTAAAAGCGAGACATAGGTATGCTGTTTCCGGCGTCAGCGGCGACGGTGGCTTCAACAATGTATTAGTTTGTGATTATGTCTAGTATATAAGTATTTCAATTGCTCTGAAATTGTACCATAATGTTTAATACTACAAGTAAAAGGTTTGGATTCATTTTGCGGTCTATGGTGTCAACAGTTAAGAATTAAGGGCCCAAAAGGGGCCAAAAACAGGCATTTTTGTAGTTTCTGGACAACAACTTGTGTGTAAGTGTATAGATCTCTCTTATATTGTACCACAAAGTTCCATATCACAAAAGGAAGACTTAGATTGAGTTTGGGCATTATTGTCCCATTCATGCAAGAATTAGGGGCCATAAAAGGGCCAAAAACAAGCATTTTTCTAGTTTCCAGACAATAACTTGTTGTAGTTTACAGTCAATAACTTGTGTTTAAGTGTATAAATCTCTCTGAAATTATACCACAAGTTTCCATACTACAAAGGGATAGTTATTGGGGGTTATGGCTTAAATCATTTAGCAATTAGGGGCCAAAAAAAGGGGGAAACACGTGTTTTTCTGGTTAAAGGACAATTTAGACAATTTAATAGCTGTGTTAGGGAGGTAATATTTCAATTGATAGTACATATTGACGATCCTTCATTTAAAAAAAAAAATAGGCACGTAAACACTGAGACTACTACATAATAATACTAACTTTTGGAATACGGCGCATCGACCATTCATATTTTGATTCTTAAACCTTCACCCTCCCCGGCCACACAAACACATACACACACACAGTCAATACGTCATGCAGAAGTTCTGTTCTGTTCATACTAACGGTGTCTAACAAAATTCAAGAAATTCATATTTTCTTATATCCTGTACTGTAAAATCCCTACCTGCTTAGGAATTTGAATAATTATCATCATTACATGTAGATCTGAGAGTACTCGAAGTTACTGAAAGCTAGTTGATTGATTGATTGATTGATAGATTGATAGACATCAAGAGGCAAATAATTCATGCAGGTTCAGGACTAAAACAGATAGAGGTCGTCCAGGATGAAGGTCTGGAAATTTGGAAATACCATGCATTGGAAAATGAGGGTTTATGAAATAGGAACAGAAATTTGCCTTTCAGTAGACAACCTACTAACCCCTCAAAGAGTTGTTTCAAGTGTCTTAACGTGCAGAGAGCGTGGCATTCTTTCTCTCTTCACTAGGCATCAGATTGAACTTGGGCCAACAACAACTAATTAAAAAAAATCATTTATCTAAGTTGAGGTTCATTCAAGTATTTGTTGATTGAAGTGAATTATCTGAACCAAAGTTCTAGTTTATAGTTTCTATATTAGGTGGAATATAATGACATACAGTTCCAATACACCACTGATTCAATAAGGATGATAGACTAGTGTACGCATGACATTCGATAATTAAAGAGTTTTGACGAATTCACATGCATCTACAGATAACATTGTTTATTACTTTTTTTAATAAAAAAATTATTTGTTAAAAAATTATGTGTAGGCAGCTACGCCCCTGACTGCAGTTAATTACGTTTATTATATGCATTCAATTATAATTACTTTTTCATGTGATAGAAAAACTTTATAAAGTCATAAAGTAAAGATTATGTGAAATTATCTAATAGGTTTTTTCAGGAAAGTAACTAAAGTTAACTTTAAGTGCAGTATATCTGTGGACATTTTTTGTTCTGATAGTAATATTTTCTTTCTCTTTCACAATAGATGGATGGTAACTGAATCAATACAAATAGCCTCATTGAATTTGAAAAAGCTGCAAATGATCTCAGTAACAAAAGATTGTTAGTGTGCAGTGTGCAGACAGTGGTTAAACAGAAGTTAACATTCTATCAGTTTTGGGATTTTACAATCTGCTAGAGGAAATAATAGGAGAAAAAGGGACCTGTGTGGTAAAAACTTCCTAAAAGTCGTCCTTTATGTGTTCAACTTTTTCTTTTGGGTAAGTGTATTATATATATGTTTATAGTTGTAGAAAAGGCAACTTAAAAAGATATTACAATTTAAATGATTTATTGATTATTGGTTGCTTAGAATCATCCATTGGCAAATATTATATATGCATGTTCAGAACTAACTATATAAAGTATAGAATTTGTAAAAGTATAATATAAGACATAAGAGAAGATATAGATACATGTTAATTGAATAATCTCCCTTTGTTCTTTGTTCAAATTAAATGAAATTCTTCCTTCATTGTTTACTGTATTCTGTTGCCAGTAAGATTTTATAACCATGCTAACAGGATAAAAGATCCTAATATAAAATTATTTCTAATTTCTCAGCTAACATTGCTAACTTCAAATTACAAAAATATTACGTTTCCTAACTTTTCTTTATCATGTTCTGTCAATTAATTAAATGTTCTTTAAAATTCAATAGTATTTTTATGCATGATAAATTCTATATTTCTTTTCCAGCTGACAGCCCGGTTAGCTTTCCTAGCATTAGGGTTATATATCAAGTTCCAGAAGCATACCTATATCAATCTGCTAGGGAACAGTACTTTCCCTTTGGCAACATACTTGCTACTAGGAACAGGAGCCTTTATTATCTTGTCAGGAATCATTAGTTGTACTGGGACATGTATAGAAAATAGATGTTTTATGGTTATGGTGAGTTATTTCCCTTTGAACACATTGTCTACTAAGAATGTATACCAAAATTAAGTTTTTTAACTTTTCACAAGCAAACCCAACAATAAATTGAAAAAAAAACCATTTCAGCTAATTCCAATTACATGTTATTTTACTTATGATTGTAATGGATATTATGTTGTATGGTCTGTTCGTCTGTCAGTCCAAATAGATTTTTAGGTTGTTTACATTGACGTTGTGGTCTTATCAACATGAAAATAAGGCCACATGATGTGAAATTACTATGGTATTAGGCCTATTCCACGGTTCACTAAACATTGAAATTATTACATTCTCAAGTTTAAAGTCATATGAAACTAGTGACTAATGAAAAATAATGCTTATCCAATTCTTGAACCAATAAAATTGAGAATTAATGGAAATGGGGAATGTGTCAAAGAGACAACAACCCGACCATAGAGCAGATAACAGCCGAAGGCCACCAATGGGTCTTCAATGCAGCGAGAAACTCCCGCACCCGGAGGCGTCCTTCAGCTGGCCCCTAAACAAATATGTATACTAGTTCAGTGATAATGGACGTCATACTAAACTCCAAATTATACACAAGAAATTAAAATTAAAAATGATACAAGACTAACAAAGGCCAATGGCTCCTGACTTGGGACAGGCGCAATGCATGTTTAAATCATAAACTTAGTCTTCTCTGCACGATTTTATCATTTTTTACGCAAAGATATCGTTTTTAAATTGTCAATTTTTTTTCTCTCTGTCTGTTATGATCTAACAAATATGGTAGCTCATTAATTGCCGTGTTTTGAAGCCGAAGTTTACCGATTGTTACTTTTTAGTAAACTATCAACAAAAAAGGATGCAATCTATTGGCGATTTTATCATAAAGATGCTGCTAATAAATGCCTCTTTAATAAGCTAGGTGTATTTTTCTATATTTTTTTTATCTTAGGAAATTACTATTGAAACATTGTTTATCTGTTATCTTGAAATTATCGTTTGAAAAGGATGTTTTTTTATACAGATGACTTAAGCCAATCAGAAAGTCAGACTAGAGGTCACATGTCTGGCATTTCATTCTCCTGTCTCATATTCTAAAATGTTATGGATAATTAAAACATTGTTGTGATGTCATTCTATTGTTTTACCTGTTCTTTATTTCAGTGATTGGACTATCATTAACCTGTAAGAAACCATTATGTTACCTTTAGCTGTCCAATATTTTTAAGAATAGACCTCCTCTTTCTTAAAAATATTGGACAGCTAAAGGGTAGCATTACTGATTCTTACAGATAAATGATAGTTCAATCACTGAAATAAAAAAAAACCTATTAATTACCCCAATTGTTTTCATCATGTAAACAAAAATAAAACCAAAGATCAAATGACAATTAAAAAAACATTTTATTAAAGTCACCTTCCAATACAATAATTTTGTCACTCATCAAAACGGTTTCTTGAGAAAAAAATCACTTTCAAATTGATTTTTGTCTCGCTTGACGGAGTCAAAAAGCGAGACATAGGTATGCTGTTTCCGGCGTCGGCGGCGACGGCGGCGTCAACAATGTATTAGTTTGTGATTATGTCTAGTTTATGGTGAACCACTAGTGGTAAGTCAAAGATATTTGGTATGCAGTTGTATTGGTATTGGCACATCTCATTACCATGGGGATTATTTGGCCTCACCCCCTCAGTCATGGTCTATTGACTTTGAAACTTTGCTTAGTTTTCATGTATTAGTTTGTGATTAGGTCATTTTATGGGGAACCACTAGTGGTAAGTTAATGATTATTGGTATGCAGTTGTATAAGCATTGGCATATCTCATTTCCATGGAGATTATTTGGCCCCGCCCCCTCAGTCATGGTCTAATAACTTTGAAATTTTTGCTTAGTTTTCATGTATTAGTTTGTGATTAGGTCAGTTTATGGGGAACCACTAGTGATAAGTAAATGATAATTGGTATGCAGTTGTATAAGCATTGGCATATCTCATTTCCATGGAAATTATTTGGCCCCGCCCCCTCAGTCATGGTCTATTGACTTTGAAACTTTTGCTTAGTTTTCATGTATTAGTTTTTGATTAGGTCAGTTTATGGAGAACCACTAGCGATAGGTCAATGATATTTAGTATGCAGTTGTATTAGCATTGGCACATTTCATTACCAGGAAAATTATTTGACCCCTGCCCCCTCAGATATGGTTTATTGACTTTGAAATTTTGCTTTATTTAAATGTATTAACTTGTGTTTGAAATTTTGCTATATTTAAATGTATGAGCTTGTGTTCAGTTATGTTTAAAGGGAACTACTTATGATAAGTCAATGGTATTTAGTATGCAGTTGTATTAGCATTGGTACATCTCATTTCCATGGAGATTGTTTAGCCATGTACCGTCAGTCATGGTTCATCGACTTTGAATATTTGCAAAATGTACATGTTAAATAAAGTGTTTCTATTTTAATTTCAACATTTGCATTATCGAAATTACAAAAAAGCAGGACATATCTCTGTGATAACAGCTAGTTTATTAACACTACCAATACTTATAACACAGCCATTTTTCTCATGTTTTTGGGTTGTCTCTTTTAGCACTAATTCAATAAGTTGATTATGCTCGTTGTAAGTCTTGCTTTTATGAATTTCTTTTTCCAAAAGATTTATCCTCGTCCGTCTTTAGGTTATCAAAATTGACCTCTGGTGATTTCCTAACATCATTTTCAACTGCAACTAAAATGAAAAAAGCAATAAAGTAATGCTTCTAAAATTTGATAGATCATGCCGCAATACAAGGGTCATGAACAACGGAAACCTTATCCTGTGTGCAAAGTGCGAATTAGAACATCCTTCATGAACCAGGGGACTATGAAAGTTTTTATAATTTTCAGGTTTCAACGTGTAAAACAATGTAAGATATAAGCCTCTAACAGTCCATTCTGTAAAATATTTTACAGAATGGATTGTTATTGGCTTATATCCCTTAGAGAGAAAAATATCATGTGACATCAAACATTATCCATTGATTTTAGCAAACCTTAAATATCTAAATATTATAAAATATATCTAAATAAAGTAGTATACCGCTGTTCGAAACTCATAAATCGATAGAGATAAAAACAAATCCGGGTTACAAACTAAAACTGAGGGAAACTCATCAAATATAAGAGGAGAACAACGACACAACAAAAACACAACATTAAAATGTAACACACACAGAAACGAACTATAATATAACAATGGCCATTTTCCTGACTTGGTACAGGACATTTTAAGAAAAAAATGGTGGGTTGAACCTGGTTTTGTGGCATGCCAAACCTCCCGCTTTTATGGCAACGTCAAACACAACACCAAAACGACAACATCACATGACAGGACCACAAAACAAATAAATGGGAGAACATATAGGACAGAGAAACACACGAATAATAGCTAACAAAAGGTACTAGGCTTAAAATTCAATACGTCAGACGTGCGTCTCGTCCACACAAGACCAACCAGTGACGCTCAGATGAAAAAAGTTTGAAAGCCAAAACAAGTACAAAGCCAGAAATTATGGAATCATTGTTCAAAAGTACCTTTATGGTAGTAGTAGAATCTTTTTTTAAATATATTTCAATCTAATTTATGTACATACAGGTTGGAAGAGACTGATGAACTATACATATCTGGGACACAGAATCAATGAAACATCGTCAGTACTGAAAGGTCAACATCAAAGAGGGGTCTGTGCTGTAGACTTCTCAGGTATTTATTGTTTGTTCATTTTCAATCTTAATACAAAAAATTTATGCAGATTGAAACAGGATATTTTTGGTGGTTAACCTTGTAATGATTTTGACTGGAACAAAAGAATGGATGTCAGGAAAATCAGGAAAATAAGATTATAAGTACAGCTAGTATGGGAATAAAACCTGGAATTTTATCACCAGATCTGGTTGGACTTGGATATTTGTTGATTTGTGTTACTGCTTGAAAATAATCTACTACAGTGATACTTAATTTATTGCCACCTTTTGGAACATGTAAAATACTATCGACAAGTCAGGATGGCAGTATATCAAAGTAGAAATTTATATAAAAACTGCACACATTTGAGAAAAGTTGACTAGGATTATTCTGTAAATTCGTATTGGCATGCGTAGTCACCGGACACATCCATCTAGAACACCAATACCAATATTTAATATTCAAATAGTTCCAGTGTAATGCTGTGTGTTATTCAAGAAATAGAGTTAATTAATTGTCTATACAATTTTATACCCTTAAAGGTCACTTGCTGTGACAAAACTCCTGCAACTTTTATTGTATTGTACTTTCAATATTCGCATTGCACAGGCGCATGCAAAATCAATTGTTATATATAGTAATCCAGCATACATCCAAACGTGTAGAGCCGATTTTAACTTGGGGCCTACTATAAATAATAAAAACAATGGCAATACAACTATATCAAAGTAAGAAGATATATATTCCTTGATAATTATCAGATGTAGGCTTATCAGACTTTTCTTCCCCGATCTTCCTGATTCGCAGCGGGAGCTTTGCATGTATATAGCCTATGATTTTCATATAGTGTGAACAATGTATTTCTTCCACTGATGTCTTCCTATTTTTCTTATGCATTCCCAATATTTATATGTGTTGCGCCTTAAAGATGAAATCATATTCATTTGGATATGGTTCAGTATAACAGGAACATATATATTGATATACTGTTCCCAGGGTATAAGTTAACGGAGCTGTATGTCAAACTGAATTAAATTGTCTAGTCAGTTATGACATACAATTATCCATGACTTGAGTTTGAGCAGGTAGATGTTTCTTTGAGTTTATATCCTAAAAGGATTCACCACACGCACTGTTTAGGTTTTATTAGTCTATAGATTATTGAAAACACAAAAGGGGTCTGAAAGAGGGGGAGGGGGGTAAATTGTTTGATCCTTAATTTCTGGAAAAAATAACTTAATTTATACAGGGAAGTGAAAAAAAATAGTTTGTTTACCTTGAAAATTATGATAAAATAAATAAAACATTTAGTTTTAAAATAAATCGTGTTCCTGTCGATCTTTGATATTGAAGAAAATAGTTTTTATTCTAAATTGATTTGCATTAATATAACTGAGAAATTCACTGCATTTTGTGCTTAATCTATTGGGTTCTTAGGCTTAAGAATTGCGTTAATTAAACATGAAACTGGTTTTGCCAACTACTGGTATCAATTTGTTAAACAAAAAAATATGTAATGGATTTCCATTATAGAAAATTGTAGAAATGTATATAAATTTAGAACTAAATGCCCAAAATACAGCCTCGAAAATTTTCCATTTCAAGTTTTCATCCAAATCTACAATGCTGACTTTCTATCTGAAATGTTTTAATGTTCTGATATCATATTTATGTGTCTAGGCTGGTGTCAAGTTTTATTGATCATTTGTGAAATCCAGAAAAAAGTAGATTAACATTGAGAAAAATGTATTCATGGTCCTGGTTCTGGTGTTTTTAAAGTTATTCAAATGTGAGGTGCTTAATTTACATAAAAAGATGAAGATGATGTGTCCAGCTGTGTCCGCCTGTAGCCAGCAGATTAAATAAGTTTTATATAGATATTACGTTGTGTCCACTTGTGTCCGCCTGTAGTCACTAGTTTTTATATGTTTTATATAGAAATAGCACTGTGTCCTGCTGTGTCTGCCTGTAGCCAGCAGATTCTATAAGTTTTATATAGATATTACGTTGTGTCCACTTGTGTCCGCCTGTAGGCCCCTGTTTCTGTAATTTTTATATAGAAATATCACTGTGTCTAGCTGTGTTCGCCTGTAGCCAGCACATTCTATGTTTTATATAGAAATTACGTTGTGTCCACTTGTGTCCGCCTGTATCCCCAGTTTTTATAATTTTTATAGAGGAATAGCACTGTGTCCAGCTGTGTCCGCCTGTGGCCACCAGATTCTATAAGTTTTATATAGAAATTACATTGTGTCCACTTGTGTCCGCCTGTATCCCCAGTTTTTTATAATTTTTATAAAGGAATAGCACTGTGTCCAGCTGTGTCCGCCTGTAGCCACCAGATTCTATAAGTTTTATATAGAAATTACGTTGTGTCAACTTGTGTCCGCCTGTTTCCCCAGTTTTTATAATTTTTATAAAGGAATTGCACTGTGTCCAGCTGTGTCCGCCTGTAGCCAGCATATTATATAAGTTTTATATAGAAATTACGTTGTGTCCACTTGTGTCCGTCTGTAGCCTCCTGTTTCTTAAAGTTTTATATAGAAATAGCACTGTGTCCAGCTGTGTCCGCCTGTAGCAAGCAGATTCTATACGTTTTCTTTAGAAATTACATTAATGTGTCTACTCGTGTCCGCCTGTATCCCCATATATCTTAAAGTTTTAAATAGGAAATAGCACTGTGTCCAGCTGTGTCCGCCTGTAGCCAGCAGATTCTATAGTTTTATATAGAAATTACGTTGTGTCCACTTGTGTCCGTCTGTAGACCCCTGTTTCCTAAAGTTTTATATAGAAATAGCACTGTGTCCAGCTGTGTCCGCCTGTAGCCAGCAGATTCTATAAGTTTCATATGGAAATTATGTTGTGTCCACTTGTGTCTGCCTGTACATAGCCCCCTGTTTCTGTAATTTTTATATAGAAATAGCACTGTGTCCAGCTGTGTCCGCCTGTAGCCAGAAGATTCTATAGTTTTATATAGAAATTACGTTGTGTCCACTTGTGTCCGCCTGTATCCCCAGTTTTTATAATTTTTATAAAGGAATAGCACTTGGATTTCCATTATAGAAAATTGTAGAAATGTATATAAATTTAGAACTAAATGCCCAAAATACAGCCTCGAAAATTTTCCATTTCAAGTTTTCATCCAAATCTACAATGCTGACTTTCTATCTGAAATGTTTTAATGTTCTGATATCATATTTATGTGTCTAGGCTGGTGTCAAGTTTTATTGATCATTTGTGAAATCCAGAAAAAAGTAGATTAACATTGAGAAAAATGTATTCATGGTCCTGGTTCTGGTGTGTTTAAAGTTATTCAAATGTGAGGTGCTTAATTTACATAAAAAGATGAAGATGATGTGTCCAGCTGTGTCCGCCTGTAGCCAGCAGATTAAATAAGTTTTATATAGAAATTACGTTGTGTCCACTTGTGTCTGTCTGTAGACCCCTGTTTCCTAAAGTTTTATATAGAAATAGCACTGTGTCCTGCTGTGTCTGCCTGTAGCCAGCAGATTCTATAAGTTTTATATAGATATTACGTTGTGTCCACTTGTGTCCGCCTGTAGGCCCCTGTTTCTGTAATTTTTATATAGAAATATCACTGTGTCTAGCTGTGTTCGCCTGTAGCCAGCACATTCTATGTTTAATTTAGAAATTACGTTGTGTCCACTTGTGTCCGCCTGTATCCCTAGTTTTTATAATTTTTATAAAGGAATAGCACTGTGTCCAGCTGTGTCCGCCTGTGGCCACCAGATTCTATAAGTTTTATATAGAAATTACGTTGTGTCCACTTGTGTCCGCCTGTATCCCCAGTTTTTATAATTTTTATAAAGGAATAGCACTGTGTCCAGCTGTGTCCGCCTGTAGCCACCAGATTCTATAAGTTTTATATAGAAATTACGTTGTGTCAACTTGTGTCCGCCTGTTTCCCCAGTTTTTATAATTTTTATAAAGGAATTGCACTGTGTCCAGCTGTGTCCGCCTGTAGCCAGCATATTATATAAGTTTTATATAGAAATTACGTTGTGTCCACTTGTGTCCGTCTGTAGCCTCCTGTTTCTTAAAGTTTTATATAGAAATAGCACTGTGTCGAGCTGTGTCCGCCTGTAGCAATCAGATTCTATACGTTTTCTTTAGAAATTACATTAATGTGTCTACTCGTGTCCGCCTGTATCCCCATATATCTTAAAGTTTTAAATAGGAAATAGCACTGTGTCCAGCTGTGTCCGCCTGTAGCCAGCAGATTCTATAGTTTTATATAGAAATTACGTTGTGTCCACTTGTGTCCGTCTGTAGACCCCTGTTTCCTAAAGTTTTATATAGAAATAGCACTGTGTCCAGCTGTGTCCGCCTGTAGCCAGCAGATTCTATAAGTTTCATATGAAAATTATGTTGTGTCCACTTGTGTCTGCCTGTAGCCCCCTGTTTCTGTAATTTTTATATAGAAATAGCAAAATTACGTTGTGTCCACTTGTGTCCGCCTGTATCCCTAGTTTTTATAATTTTTATAAAGGAATAGCACTGTGTCCAGCTGTGTCCGCCTGTGGCCACCAGATTCTATAAGTTTTATATAGAAATTACGTTGTGTCCACTTGTGTCCGCCTGTATCCCCAGTTTTTATAATTTTTATAAAGGAATAGCACTGTGTCCAGCTGTGTCCGCCTGTAGCCACCAGATTCTATAAGTTTTATATAGAAATTACGTTGTGTCAACTTGTGTCCGCCTGTTACCCCAGTTTTTATAATTTTTATAAAGGAATTGCACTGTGTCCAGCTGTGTCCGCCTGTAGCCAGCATATTATATAAGTTTTATATAGAAATTACGTTGTGTCCACTTGTGTCCGTCTGTAGCCTCCTGTTTCTTAAAGTTTAATATAGAAATAGCACAGGTTTTATTAGTCTATAGATTATATAAAACACAAAAGGGGTCTGAAAGAGGGGGAGGGGGTAAATTGTTTGATCCTTAATTTCTGGAAAAAATAACTTAATTTATACAGGGAAGTGAAAAAAAATAGTTTGTTT